CAAGCCTAGCCGCCGCTCCGGTCGGAAACCCGTCGTCGACTGCGCGCGTTAACACGACGACGGACGCGTTGACAGATTCGATGCTGCCGCATCGTCGCGCCCGATGGAGCGATGCAGCAACACCCGACGGTAATCGACAGCCGGAAGGATTCGACGCGATGAGAGTCGTACGAATTATGTTTTTGATAAAGATTTAATTCGGTGATTTCAATGAATTCTTCGAGATGCATATCATAGATACAAAAGTGCTAATTGAATGCAATTATTGACGCGAGATATATTCTTTTGCATGTGCGATTTTGGAAAATCATATCGATTATATTGATTTTAATCACAGCTTAATCTTTATAATTATTCCTTACAATATCGCAATATTATAGACTACTTATAAATAATTATTTAACTATTGTAAAATGTCGTCTCTGTGATTTAAATTGACGTCATTGTACCATTTTCTATTCACGTAGAACGGCTATAAGTAAAATATTATCTATACACGAAGTAGAAGAGATAACAGCGCTGTGGAAACTTTGACATGAATATGCATGCAAGCACATGCATATTGGATAGTTTCATTGATATTTTCGATATTAAATATTTACGTACACATACACGTGTTGAACTTAAATTAATAAAAGTTTGTATAAAGATTAGAACTTTTACATTAAAAATAAACCTAAATTAATAAAAGTTTGTATAAAGACTAGAATTTTCATATTAAAATTTATCGCTAAATTTATTCAGACATTTGAATATTTTAATTTATTATTTATATAAATGATAATGTATAAAAATTCAAACTATATAGTGTAATACCGAAAAATTGTCGTTTTTACAGAATAACATCATAATAAAAAAATTAGTGCAAGAGATAATATTGCAATGAATTAATATTTCAATATACACATATATAAAGTTGGATATATATTTTTTCTATTTTTCTATTGTTGCTACTGTGATAAAATTTCAGATATGTAATAACGCACATAAGGACTTACAATCATTTTATTCGTAAAAATAATTAAAAATTGACAATGATATCATTAATTCACTGAAACGTGCAAAGAATACTGTTTTCCCCGCAATGCGTAGTTTGTTGCGTAAGCTGTTCGGACATAGAAAGCGCCGCTGGCATTAAACTTCGCTATCGCGCTCATACGTCTATTTTTCCGCCCACTTTTGCGAGGTATCGGCGAATTTTTGCTTGGCCTACTTCGTCTTATCGCGTACTACTGTAGGAGGACTATGTCGGACTCGGTCGGATAATTTGTGTCCCTCTCCCTTACTCGACCGCCGCCGTCGCCGCCTCGTCATCTACGCCTTGTCATTGAAAGTGTTCAAGATCTAGTGCAGAACGCAGCTGCATATTATGCTGCTGCTGCTGCTGCTAGTTGCACAGGCCATATAAAACGTCTCCCACGAGATTATTATTGAGTATCATGCTCGCACGATGGCTCGATTGCCCTTTGCGCCTTCAGTCAAGGATTGCAATGATTGTTGAATTTAATTTAAAATCCATTTTATGAAAACAATTGTATCGCATACTATTTTTCTCAATGTTCACATTGCGTCTAATGTGCCTAAATCGAAGTACAAAAATATATATAATATATACGTAAAGAATTATTTTCGATAGTTTCGCGGTTAAAGATAAAAGCGAACACAAATATAATTGCGTTACTGCTTCGCTTGAAATTGTCATAGAATATTCGGCCTGAATGTCGTAATGGGGTAATCCGCCGTACCGAATTATATTTCTTGCAATGTAGAGCAGGCGGGTGATAAAATCTCGGGCTTCGTGCTAGAAACCTTATAGTGGATTGTTATGTAATGATGTCTTTACATGCATGATTTTTTCAGTTATACGAAAAATTAAAAAATCGTTACTTGTCACGAAAGGAAAATTAAAATGAAGTTGCTGATACTTCATCATTCTGTCGAATATTATTCTTGCTGCTTATGAAAAGAATTTCAACCAAGTTAAATATTTAAGACTAAAACCAAATATCTCTAAAGTACTTTTTCTACGATGGTAAAGTTTACGGCGATACGTGCAATTTAAGTACTTCTATGAGGAATTATTTGCTGAACAAATTACTTAACAATTTTTTATCACATTTATATGAAAAGGAGATAATCATTTCACATTATGCGAAATTAGAAATATGTTGCTTCGAATCTATAGTATATCTAAAAAGCACTATATAGTTAAAGGAATTTAAATCTCTATACGTTTTTATTCAGAACTGATTTATACAAATGATAGCGGTCGCCAAATATTTATTAGTTTTTTATTATTAATATTTTCATTTTATTTTATTCCAGATTATTACAAAATATATGATACATAAAATAATTGACACATATAAAGAGAAGAAAGAGATCTTTCTTAATTAAAATAGAAATATATATTACTTGATATATGCTCCAATTATGGAACACATTCTATTTCAAATATTCAGAAAGATGTAAGCTCCTTCTAGCTATTGCGCATTCTAAAACTTCATTATTATTCAAATAATGTTGCGTCTATTTACGGCGTTTGTTTTGTTCGATCCCGTTTATTCGCAGATGTGCGTCGCCCGGAATTTCCGACTTGGAGCGCGGCTTATTCCGCAAAATTACGTAACGTTTAACGTAAAGAAAAGCGCAACTTGACTGTGACCTACAGCGAATGGCAAGTACGCGCGGAATCCTTGTCTGCCTTCTTTAAGTCGCCGAGAAACGGCGCCGACCTCTGTGCCAGGGGTATGGCATGCATATACATCGAGGCTATCCCCGGCAACGACTCCTGGAACGAAACTCCTATTCGCTATAGGTGAACGTTGTTTTTTTTTTCTTCTATCGCGGGAGCGTGCGCGCGCGAGCGTACGATTCAAGGATTCCAAACGTCGTCTGACCCAGATCTTCGTTAAACTTCGACCGTGCAGTTGCAGCCGCGTAAACAGGTCGTCTCTAGCACGACAGTTTGTCGTTACTCCGAGTAAAGTTAGAACGAAAAATATATCATATATATAATCATAAATGCAACGACGCGGAAAACTCACACAGCATCTTGATCGTCATTCCTCGAAATTTTATTATTCGATAACCCGTTTATAAATTGTCGTAAATTTTTTTATTTTTTACTAAATTAATACAAATTTAACTTTCAATGTAGGCTTCTGACTATAATTATATATTATAGTCATATTATATGATTATATATTATTTAATAATAATAAAAATATTATTCAATATATATAAAACAATTATATAATATATATGAACAATATATATTTACTTCTTATATATTCTAATATTTTCTTTAATTATAAAAATTCAAAGTGTAATTGGCGTCAAAGTAGTTAAAGTTAGTTTTTTATTTCGTGATTTTTTATACACAATATCTCATGTACGTAATAAACATCGTTGTATTCAGATACAGGTTCTAGATTGAAAATGCGCCGCATTTGTGTGTCGTACAGGATATTTCGCAAACAGGATGCCTACATACCAACGGTGAGACTTTATTCCTCGAGTAACTTGCGCGAGGACTTTGTGTGCGCGTGGCACAAGTTCCTCGTCCGTCACACGTTGTAAATCAGCGGCAACAAGGTTGTCATTTTTTTCTACTTCTTACGAGTCCACCTTGCGCACGAGCAATGACTCCTTGCCTTGTGCGCAATTGTGAATCATCGCGTAATATCCTCCGACCTTACTCGATAGGAAAACGAAACATCTTGCAGTCGATAACTAAAAGCTTTATACATAGATTTTTAGACTCTCTTACGATTGGATATTGTGTGATATATTATATCTTTTATATTACCAAAATGTGTAAAAATATTTTAATATACGTTTAATAATTATATATATTTAAATATTTATTCTAATATCTTACAATAATATAATATTTTTAAAATATGCGTTATTACAACAGAGAAATTTATAAATACCTCTTTGCATATAATAATAAACCCTTGTAAACTACACGCACACAAGATAGTTATGTGAAATTCTCATTTAGATAACAATTTTAGAGAAACTGCAGGCTCATCAAATGCGAATAAAACTCGGCCGTTAATAATTAGATGCAATGCAATGTGGCAGTCCCTCATGTATATTTAATAGTCGTTCCTTGAACAATGTGGCAAATACTCATTGTCGATACGTTTATGACTACATTAACAATCAGCACGATACCGCGCAATTGATAGTTAATACGATCTCACGTTACGCAATGCCGATTATAAACACGGATCAAGGAAAAAATCTCTGACGCCGTAAGGTGATCGTGAAAAAAAGAACTTCACTCTCTATCAATCGGCGGTCTTCGTCATCCGCATCGCCGCTTTCCACCACGGGCTCGCACGAAGAAGCTCTCTCCGTCAATCGAATCGCAAGTAGAGCGTGCACATTGTGTACGAGAGAGGACCCTTTGGCTCTCGTTGGCCAAGGATCCCTTCGTGTGAACTCGCTGAAAGCTCCGAGCTTTGCACTCGTTACGTGTCCGATAGACGATATATCGGCTTTTTATGCGTTTAATAATAGAAACTCAGAGTATATAATCTCGATCTCAGAATAATTAGAATGTTTTCGTTTTTTATAAGCAACTTTTTATGATTTATATTCTTATATAAACATCAAAGATAAAACAAGCATTCTTCTGATATTATATCTTTTAACGGTATATTATGAACGAAGCGTTAATTGGGAAATATTATAGTATAATGTTATATTAAAAACAAAAATAGTTATATTAAAAACAAAAACAGAATTCTCTTGATCATCAAAGACTTTATTTACCATTTATTGTTCTAGTCTTGGCTCTCCGGTTTTACGATCGTATGTGTAATATTACTAATAAAAAAAAAATAATAATAAAGAAACCTAAAAGATATAAAATTCTAAAATATCTCCACAAGATAAATAGCAAAAGAAAATATTTAAATTCATAATATTATTTAATGCCTTATTTTCATAATAATTAATAGATATTCTCATTTTTATATTTTAAGCTGGCTTCAACCCGGACATTCGCAGCCCCGACTACGAAGTTAGCATTCGCCAACGACCCTTTCGTTTCACCCTTAGGGAGAATTTAACTACTGTAGAATCCGGACAACTTATTTCATCTCTGGTGAGTCTCTATCGTATCTCTATCGCTTCGAGAGAGCGTACGCGTGTGCGTGGCACTCCTACAATGTCCGTCTTTCTCCTATTCTCATCGTGTATGCGCGCATGCACGCGTATATATATACACGTAATGCACGCACGTAGTATAGTCGAGCACCGCGAGGCGCAAGGAGGGATCGGAACTGCCGCCTGGAGGTGGAAGGGAGTAGGGGAGAGAAAGAGGAGGAGGAGGAGGAGGGCTAGGTAGTGTAGTATCGGTCATTACCTCCGCCGCGTAACTGGGTCAGTCGTCACATAGCGCCTCTCTCGGTTCGCTCACACCGGCTGCACGTTTTGCGGCGTTCTCTCTCTCTCTCTCTCTCTTTCCCCATCCTCCCTCCTTTGCTCGCTCGCCTTTACCGCATGCGACCCTCTCACTCTCGCACACCCGCGCAACGCACGTTACTTCACGCGAGTTTTCCTGCTCTCTCCACCACCCCCTCTCCCCCTCCCTCTTTCCCCCTTGGCCTTCTGGCACCCCTGACGCCCTCATCGGTCGAAACCTTCCGCGCGATTCTCGAAGCGGCCCGAGGGAGGTCAGACCTTGGATCCAAGAGAAGCACCGGCTGTGCGGAAAATATACGTCTTCTCTTGCAGCATCCGCGCGCAACTCGTGTTTTTTGTCATCGCCGAAAGATGCAGTTTTGAGATTGTATTCGTTTTGCGAGGAGAGGAAAGAAATTCTTAAAGGGTTTTCAAATTCAGGGGACGATTATCGTGATTGCGATAACGCAGAAAAAAATTACGAGTTAATCTCTGCGTCGAGATTATTGCACGGGATTGATCAGCTGACAATAACGAGCACGAGACGTTCGTATTATACAAGGGGTTTAAATGAGAGTCTCGATAAAAATTCTTTGTGTTAGGAATATCATTTTATATCGATATAATAATAAATAAAAAAATATATAGATATTATTTCGCATTAATAATCTTATGATTGTTATCGAGAGAATTGTATGAAGCAAGTTGTCGCTTGTGTTGCTTTTCAGGCAACACAAATGTCACAACAGAGATGATGTTAATAAAAATATTTAAAATATCTGATTTATTTAAATGTAAGTTAAAAAGCTTTTTTTAGATGCATTTTCTACAGTTTTATAATGTTGTTTACATTTGTAATATAATTTAAAAGACAAACTAGCTTATTTGCTTGTTATGTCATGTCATATTATACAGTAAATTAATTTTAGTTTAGCTACTATATTTATATTTATTAGTGATAAGGTGTTTTATGATCTTCCTTCAGAATAAAAATTATTTGAAATTCTGTCTCTTTTATTAAAAATTATGATCACCGTTAGCATTTTTATGAAAAACGCGCAGGTGTTTGCTGGTAAATTTACTATCGTGTAATAGAAGAAGGATGTAATCATTGGTGAGTTCTACCAGTTTATTTTATCATAATTTTTTATTATATATATTTTGCGCATTTTTTTATCCCGCAAGTCTGACATACGAAAACTATTTTTGCTCGACTACTAATAAATTTTTATGCGTCTATATTTGTATGCAAAAATGCAATTATTTTATATGTACAAGTATAAAAGTTATATACTTTATTGTGCTTATTTGGTATTCATTACAGTTTATTATTTTTGATAGTAATAAATATTTAAAAGATCTTTTAAAAGATTATTTAATGCAATGAATTGTTCGTCTGTAAATAGAAGAGAAATTGAGATCTATTGTCTTAACGTAGAAATTTATAAATATTTTTGAGGGGTTTTTGTTTGTATTACTATTAACACATTTTTTGAGCGTTTTTAACAATGAATTCGAGATAAGACGGGTGCGCAAAAGTTTTAAGAGCGTCTGTGTTCGATGTTTTGCCAAAAGTGCACGTTTTGCAGGTTTTAGAAACATCTCGCTGGAAAATGTTTATCGTTTCAATTGCTTGATGCGTACAGTTGTCTCAAAATAGAATCGAATGAAATTTCGCAATTTTACAGTTAAGGTTTGTTGAGTAAACACAGAAATTAATTATATGATAAAAATAAAATATAATAATTTCCAAAATTTACTTTTCATAAAATAATTATCGTAATTGTAAATGGAAAGTCGCGATAGAGAGTATTTTTAGAAATTAAAATATTACCTTTTACACTGAGACCATGACCTGATATATTCCGAACAAATAACAAGAGTAGTTAACTCGTTGGAGTTTAGAGAGAAAATATTAAATATCTATATATGTGATATGTGTATAAAAATTAAAACTCACCAGTACGATGCGCAGCAACGGAGTTGTAGTAGTACACAGCGTTGATCTGTAAGACACAAATATATCCAAATTATGTATAAAAAACAGTGCCCAAAGTAATTAACATTTAAAAAAATAATTATTGCGCGCAATAGAATTTTTAAAATTTGATCTTTAAAGATATTTAATTTAAAAACTTACATAATTTCCGAGACAAAATTAGAGATACTAACTTTTATGAAATAAATAAATCTAATTTTTTCTTTTAAAAATCTAAATAATTATAAAACCTCAAGAAAGTTGAAAAAATATATATACATATAAATATTATTAGAAATATTTTATTATATTTTGAAAATTTAAATAAAAATCTAATATGTTTTATATGAATTGTATTATACATATAAAATAAATCACTACCGTAGAGATAAAAGAGCAATTAAATTTGCAAGTATAAATTATAAATAAATTATATGAATTCTGCTTATCCCATGGTTGCTCCGTCATTGCTTGACATATTTCCGGGTCTCCTTCTCTTCTCTTATTCGTCTCTTCCCACTTCTTCAGGGTATTCACAAGATACTAAAATACGATTAATTACGATCGCGCGCATACTAAGAATACGACAATCGCACGACCCTTTACACGATATTTTCGATGTTAATCGCGATGCGTACTTTATTATGTTGTGACGGGAGAATAACGTGAAAAAATTATATACTCGCTGCGATGCTATCTTTATCGCTAACAGATAATATACGCTTGTATTTTAAGATGACTTTTCTCTATCTAGTGTTACATCATATAAGCAAATAAATATAAGAGTTAAAAATAAATATCCGAATATATGATATCCGAAAATATGTCACCATTTTGTTGACTACTCGCGCAAACGATTTTGATAGATAGAACAAACCACGTAAAATACATGTTTTAACAAACCATCGATGCCGAATTCTTATTACGCAGACAAGTATTAAAATAATAGGACTGATTTACTAATTAAATGCGTCATAACGCCGTATGATTTAGAATCGTTCCATTTTGTATTCCAAACTTTTGTCAATAATCGAACATTTAAAAATAAAATATGCAATATCAAATACTACGCGAATCGAATTAATTGCTGATTAAGAGATGATAATCATAGATCAGTAATCGTTAATTGTAATGTTAGCGCCAGACTATGCGTGATTCGCGATTCATAAATAGTACAAAGAAATCTGATTGGTAGAATTTGACGAATCTTCCATCTATATTAATCACGAATTATAAACGCGCATAGTATTAGAATTTGTACGGAATAATCACGTTTGATTTTTTTCTACCACTTACCGCAATCGTATTTCGATCGAGATCGCGCGAGTAGTCAAGAATAAAACGATCATATATTTTCGGTATCACATTCTGCGGATATTTATCTTCAATTTTAGCTTTTATATTTATTCATTTATGATATAGCGCAAGATAGTAAAGTTTCATGAAAATGCAAGAATATACTACTTGTTAATAAAATACTTAATCTAGTCTAACAACAAAGATAGTATCGCGATAAGTGGAGCGTGAATTTTGTCACACAATTCTGGAGTTATCGAATGGATAACGTAGTTTTTGTGTTATTCTCCTGCCAGTATAATAAGGTACGTGTTGCATGCGATTGCTATCGAGAATGCCGTACAAAAAGCCGCGCGATTGTCGTATTCTGGCGGTTAATGCGCACGTGTGTGTGATCGCAATTAACAGTGTTTTCGCAAATATCTTGTGAATACCATGAAGAAGCAGCAAAGGACGAACAAGAAAAGAGGAGGAGATCTCAGACGACGCGATCATACGATGAGCAGAATTTATAATTTACTTATTTGTTTATTGCAAAATTAATTGTTCGATTATTTCTGCAATAGTGATTTATTTTACATTACGCAATATAATGCATATAAAATATTATACAGATCTTTTATTTCAAAATTTTTAAAATATTTTTAATACTATATTTATATAATAATTAAT